AAAAAAAAAAACAAACTAAAAAGAACAGGCTGGTGCTCAAAATTAAAAAACAAAAGTCCTCAGACTTCTCACAGGCTTTAAGCATCCGCAAGCCATCAGGACCATGAGGCTGTGTGTTAGCCAAAAGCCAAGCCTGCAGCAGAATAAGATGATTAGGGCTGTGCCAGAGACCTCTGTGCATAACACAGTCTCAGAGATAGTTATAGCACACATTGCAGCATCTACTTGTTCCTCAGGTTATGTTATTGCCCACAATTAGGCGCTGGAATTAGAACGACCTGATTTTCCAAGAAGTCTGAATAATTTCTGCTTCTTCTTGAAGCAGTGGGAGCTAGAAGCGCTCACCACTGTGGGGAAAACAGGCCTTAACACAGACGTAAGCGCAAAATCCTGGAGCATGGGAACACCGGCCACGCTCAGCGGCGAATTTAAGATCAAACGGGTTTCACGTAACTACAGATTAAGCAAAAAAGACTTCTCTTTAGCCCCCCAAGGGAGCAGCTGTTACCAAGCCGCTGGCCAGCAGCGTGCTGCTCCAGCACGCTGTTTCAGGCTCACCTTGAGGCCTCTCTCGTAGCGGCGCACTTTGGAGCTGTCTCCAGCCTGCTTGGCATTGGCGATGGCCGTTTGGTACATGTCCACCCTCTCCGCCAGCGTAGACTCGATGCTGCCGGACTCGGGAGGCGTTTCACCCACCTGCGGGAGCCCAAAGGAGAAGGCGTGCTGAGCACCCCCAACTAGATGACAACGACACAGGATCCGGGCTTCCTCGCGGCCGATACCCGCCCCGATCCAGGGGTCAGCGCAGACACAGCTGTTCGGCCCTTTGTTTTTCACAAGCTTGGGTCAAAACAGGTCTAGCACGGCCGCAGTTTGTGAACTCTGTCCTCCCTATCTTCCATCAAACTTTTGTGCAACGGAGTCACATTTACTTGTCGGGGAGATCCAACAGATGACACTGTGGACGTAGAAGTGCTCCCACACCAGGAGCAGCAGGGGTAGAAGAGGAAGCAAAGCAGAAGAACGAGTTTCCTACCTTTGCAGTAGTTATGGGGGCATCTGCTCTCTCTTCCCCTTCGCCGAGTACTTCCTGGAGCTCTGCCTACAAGCCAACAGGAATTCCGTTAATGATAAAACGGGGCCAAAAATCTCTTCTGGAGAAAACGCATCCCATTGATCCCAAAGCATATGGAGCAAGGAAAAGCTAATACAGGGAAGGGGGATAAGGGCCAAGGAAGAGCCAGGGCACAGGGACGCTCTCCCAAAACCCCTCCTGTCCTGTGCAGGACACCAATTGGCAAGGAATAAACCACCAGACCTCCCGTTGCCTGCAGAGCCCTGAATACCATGAGATCATCTTCGTCTTCCAGATCTTCCTCATCCCCTCCCTCCTCTTCGTCCAGGTCCTTCATGCAGAGAGCAGCCATTCTCTCGATCGCTTCCATCGGCAAAGGTGCTGGAGAGGGAGAAGCAGCGCGTCTGGTGTTTGTGTCTCACAACCGTTTCCTACCATGGCTTAGGCTCGCGTCCGGAAAGCCAAGGAAAACCAGGCAGGGCAGCAAGTCCGGCCCGGAGAGGGTCACGCAAACTCATCAGGCAGGAGACAAACCACCGTGAGTCATTTTCCACATGGCACATCATCAACCAGCTAGAGAAATTCCCAGCAGACGGGTCCCCCCAGGCAGATATATCCTTCCCACGAGGTTGGGCCACTTACTTTTCCCCTTGGGTTTTTCTTTCGGATCAGGCTGGCCTCCCACAATAGCCAGCAGCTCTGCCTCCAGGTCGGCCGCATCGTCCCCGGCATCGTTTGCCATCATCCCCTCCGGAGAGAAGTCCATCAGCAAAGGCACCTGTGGGGGAGAAAAAGCAGCTGCCCCGAACGATCCTGGCAGAGGCAGCAGCGACGCCGACTAGCTGACGCCGATCCTCTGGGATCGGGCTTGAGGGAGGACGACACGTCCCACGGTTAGGGACCAGACCGTTGCGCCCTGCATTAACACTGGCTCAACGACCAGCGAGGCTGCACACTGACAAAGCTGCTGATCCAGCTTAGAAAAGCAAAAACAAATCCCAGAAGACGGGCAATGAGGATACAGGCGGCTCAGTTCTCCCAACGGATCCACGACGGAGACCCGTGCCTGGAACGACCAGCGTCACTACGAATGCTGCGCGTACAAGGAAGCCGCGGCCGGCACCTGCTTAATGGAAGAACTGCCCAGTTTAAACAAAGTCCCCCCAGAAACTGCGGCTGCTCAGATCTGAGTCTTGCGTAACGCACGCCAGAGCTTCCCTGTGCGGAAGGTGTGGTCAGGAGGCCTCAGGTTTCCCTCTGGTTGTTTAAAGGATCTTTACGCCAGTGACCTCTCCCTCCTGGGCAGGCGAAGGC